CTTAGCCCAGGTCCTGGCACATAGTAGGTGCTTAATAATTATTGATAGGTGAGACAGGGTGGGCTTCATATTTTATATGACATCCAAAACAAATATTTTGTCCCAAACTGGCCCCTTTCTCTATTAACAATGTTAATAGAGAGTTCTATAGTTTGGGAACTCTCCTCATGGGGAGTAAAAAAAAAAACAGGCCCACTAAATCAAAGAGGGGGACCATATTGAAGGCATCTTGTTGGAACAGCTGTTTTAGGTACCAAGGTGCTGCTGAGTGCTAGGGGGAAGTAGGACTGAGCTGGGAATGTGATGGGCTTCTGGGAGCATCCCAGTGGCCTGTGTGATGTCAGGGTCTGGAACCTCTCGCACTAAGGCTATGCTAATGAGCCCTTCTCACTGCCACAGGGAACCTGGGAAAGCTGCTGTGGAAGAACAATTGGGTGACCTTCCTGGACACTATGCTGCAGATCTGCATTGTGGGGGAATCTCAGCGCAGCCTCCGCCTCCCAACCCGTATCACCTCCATCCACATCGACCCTGCCACCCACCAGCAGAAAGTGTATCAGCACCAGGAGGAGACACAAGGTAGCCCCTGGCCTCCTTGTTCCGTTTTGTGGGGTTAAGACTCTTTATGCATGGTTGGGGGTTACGGTGGGGTGAGCAGGTGCACATGTGGTGGTGGGAGGGCCCTAGACTGGAAGCTTGGCAACTAAGGCTCTGTGAGCCCTGGGGCTAGATACCAGGGCTGTGCTAATGCCACCCCCCCCCCAGCAAACCTCATTGTCCCAACCCCCTATAGTGGCAGATGTCTGGGTGGACTCCTGCTTAAGTTACACAGTAGCCGGCGGCGTCCTGATCTCACGGCTGCATGCCTCTGTGGCCCCTCGGAAGCAGCAGGAGCAGCACGCACCCATCTTGGAAAAGTTCTGTTTTGTGCCTCATCTGGAGAGCAATTGCCTGGCCAGCAACACCGAGCTTCAGGGAGAGCTGCAGCAATGTAAAGGTGAGGAGACCAGGGGGGGTCTTCCAGTGCGGACACTAAGGGAGCTGGGCGGACAGGAAGCCGGCGGGGTCAGAAAGGAAGAAACAGAGATAGATGCAGAAAAATAAACTCAGAGGTAGGAAAGAGAAGATGAAGTCACTGTATGTCAGAACACAAGAATGCAGGGCCTCCCTTTAAAGCCTGAGAGATCTAAACTAAACATTCCTAATTTTCTCGGTCATTTTTTGGAGGACTTGGTTTACAGGACCCTGATCACCCTCCCAGACATGCTTTGGTTTGTCCACATCTCTCTTGAAGCATGGTGCCCATAACAGTTACCTCCCTGGTTTTGAACTTTCCGCCTCTTCCTGATGCTGAGTCGCTTTGGGGACAAGCCACATAAGTGCTCCATTCTTTGTTACATGCACTGCCATTAAGCTGGGGCTTCCCCATTCCTGTACTTCTGTGACTGGTGTTCTGGACCCAAGCACAGGACTTAAGATTCATCTCATAGGGGGTAGCTGGGTGGTGCAGTGGGTAGAGCTCCAGCCTTGGAGTCAGGAGGACCTGAGTTCAAATCCAGCCTCAGACACTTGACACTTACTGGCTGTGTAACCCTGGGCGAATCACTTAACCCTGATTGCCTCACCAAAAAAACACAAAGATTCATCTCATAGGCCATCCAGCCAGCCCATCAAGACGTTTCTTGCTCTGGAGCCCATCCCATATTGTTAGTGCTTCCTTCCCAGCTTGGTGCCATGCACAGGTTTGCTATGTGGTCTTTCTAAGACTTCAGGAGTTTTGAAATGAACAGGCGGAAGGACCTCCTGACAGTTATAGTTCAGGTCATCTGCATCTGTTGAGGTTAAATTGGATGCAGAAAGGTTTAGGTAATTCGCAGGTGGCATCCTGGGTTTTTCAGAGAAGAGCTGGGGCCGAGAGAAAGGACACCCTTGTGGTGATGTCTCTGCCGGAGCCGTGACAGTGGGTGGCCTGGAGCCCAGGTCAGACCCATTGACATTCATGCTCATTTTCTAGAATAAGAAGAGGTGATAGAAGCAGGTTTCTTCTGCTCCTCTTTGAGAAGCAGTGTGAGGTGGGGGGAGAGGGAGAGTGGTGCTGAACAGCCCCAGATCCCTGCTTTTCCCCATGTCTTCCCAGGACCTCTGAGCATTACTCTCGGGGTGACTTCATTTGCTTCTCAACAAGCACGGTATAGTCATCCACTTGCCTCATTTGTAAATGGGGAAACTGAAGCCTGAGAAGGCGGAAACTTAGCCCAGTTAGCACAGCAAGTCAAACTGGCAGCTGTCCTGGAGTGAAAGACAACCGAGCCCCAGGCCTTGGTGATCACCTAAGGATCAGGGCTTGGTCCCCATACCCCCAACCTGGAAGCCCCAGCCTTGCCTTACTTATCCCAACTCCTGCAGGCCTGATCCAGAAACTGCAGACCAAGGTGGCTCAGCATGGGGTGAAGCTCTCCGTGCCAGGCCTCACCGGAGCACAGGCTTCTCCCTCCAAGGACTCCCCACAGAAGGGGCTGTCCTATCTCCTGGCTGCTGCCTCGCAGCTGCAGCTCAATGGAAACTTGTCTGTGGAGCTGGGGCAGGTGGTAGCTCAGGAGTGGCAGCACTTGCAGGAGGACCACCTGCTGGCAGGGCTTCTGGACTCCCTGGAGCTGAAGGCCTGTGTGGACACGGCCCTGGAAAACAGCTCCAGTCACAAGATGAGGGTGGTAGAGGCAAGTATGGTACCCCAGCAGGGGATGGGGGGTCTGTGGCAGGCAGCTGGTGGGAGAACGCCAAAGATGGGTGGCAGAAGGGGAAGGGAAGCCCGGGGAGGGCCCGTGGCCTTGATGGATTTACTCTCTGTGTCTTTCCCTCCATAGGGGAAAGTCAGTAAGCTTCAGGCTTATTCAGACCTTCCCCCCAGTGTTTCCTTGAAAACTGAACCTCAGACAGCAATATAACCAACTAAATGGACTTAGTAACCGTGTGCATTTAAACCAATTTACTACTTAAAGTATGATTTTTCAGTCACATGGGCATTAAGGTCTCCATTGATATGCTTTACAGAGGGTACACTCTTATCCATCTTCTCTGTCAATTACTTATGGCCCACTTTGAATTCCTACTTATTTCTCTTTCCCCCGGGCCCTGTCTCTTTGCTGTTCAGCCATTTATGGGTTCCAGGAGTCAAAGAATGTCAGAGCTAGAAGGAATCTTATCTTTAGAAAGGGAGATCATTTCATTCAACACCTCTGTCTTACAGGGGAGGAAACTAAGGCCCTTAGAGAAGAAGGGACTTATGGGGCAGCTAGGTGGTACAGTGGATAGAGCACCGGCCCCGAAGTTAGGAACACCTGAGTTCAAATCCAGCTTCAGACCAAACACTTGCATTCACTAGCTGTGTGACCCTCGGCAAGTCACTTAACCCCAATTGCCTTAAAGAAGAAGAAGAAGAAGGGACTTAGCCAAGATAATACAGAACCTGGGTCCTCTGTTCTCTAAGGCAGTGGCTTTTTCCACCCTCAAGTCTCCGAGGGAATGCCAACATTGACGTAGACGGCCTATAAATAGGAAGATGATCTGTGGTAAAAACGAAAATCAGACCTTGTGTGACACGTGGCAAAGACAGTCAGCATGGTTTGGGCTACCTGGGCTGTTGGCTTTGTTCCATCAGGGGCTACTCAGGAGCTAAGTGGGTAGACACTAAGTTTCTTGTGGTCAGTGACTGTGTACTGTGCCCCTTCGGTAAAACCCATACCAGTCTAGCACAATCCTAGGTACACAGCAGATACTCAGTAAATACTTGGCTGGCTGAGCATTTGATAAGTGCAAATCAGTGAAAACTTCCTGGAGGAGATAGTGAGATAGCTTTCAGAAGAATCTTGTGTAGGGTAGGGGTGTGGGCTGGGAAGTGAAGCATAGAGACAGAGTGACAGTTGCCAACATTGTCCAGGCAGTGTCCAGTCCAGGGGCAGAAAGAGAGGCTGAGAAAGTTCCTTGCCTTTCCCTTCCCTGTGCCTGACATTCACCCCTCTTCTCTTCTCTGGATTTCAAAGGTCCTGGCTGGAGATGGCCACCTGTACTCCCGCATCCCTGGCCTCCTCAACAGCCAGCCCATGCTCCAGGTGGACTATGTTGCCACTGACCGGCAGTCTACATCCCTGGAAGACCAGCAAGCTCAGTTACAACAGCAGGGCATCTCCCTGGCCCAGTGGGACCCAGATGAGCCTGCCCCCGACAGTCTGCACAGCACTGACCTCCTGGTGTGTAACTGCACCATCACTGCCCTGAGGGATCCTGCCACTGCCCTGAGCCACATGGGAGCCGTCATCAACAACGGGGGATTTCTGCTGCTGCATACTGTCCTCAGAGGCGAGACCCTGGGGGAGATAGTTGCCTTTCTTACCTCCTCCAACCAGCATCGGAGACAGAGCCTTCTGAGCCAGGTGAGGGTTACTGGTAGTGTTTTGTGATTCTGTAATGCTCCGTCCTGACCTTCCCAACCAAAGACCATCAATTACTACTATCTCTTTCTAGGCCATGGGATTACATTGTTTCTCCCTAAACTGATTTTCTTTTTGTTTGTCTGACCTTCCTTTCAGGGATCTTTATAGCACTCTCAATGACAACCCCTGCAGAACACAGGGCCTTTTTTTATCAGTGCGGGGTAGGGGACATCTGATCAAAGTTGTGCAGCAGGAAGATGAGTCTGTCATGGGAGCGTGTGTAACAGACTGCAGAAGGGGAAAGACTGGAGGCAGGAAGGGAAAGGTGTCAGGTTCTGATGGTAGTCCAGGGGAGAGGTAATGAGGGTGAGGAATGAGGTGTAGGTGAAGGAAAAAAAATTCAGCTCTCACTTCAAAGGGACATTGGACAGAGAATGAAAGAGAAGGATTGATGATGATGACAGCTAATATCTTAAGTTACTTTAAGATTTGCAAAGATCTTATCTAATTTCATTGAAGAATGAGTGAAATGGTCTCAGAAGAATCCTGTAATCACAAACTCATCTCCAGACTGCATGACACCCCATCCCACCCCAAACCTCCACCCTGGGGAAACTGAGCTACCCCAAAGCAGGATGGGTACACCGTGAGGGTCAAGGGCAGAGTGTCCAGAGATTTGGCACTGCTGTGCCCTTTTCCCCCCTAGGAAATGCAAACTGAGAGTTCCCTCCTCTTGCCCCCTCCAAATAAGAGAGAAACCATCTTCAGCTGCCGACAGGGCTCACAGATAAATGGGAGCTAGCCAGAGCCCTAGGGACTACACTAAGTGATCAGTCACTGGGCCAGTCATTTTTTTGTTTGGGGAACTTTGTTCTTTTTCTAGCTTTTGTTATGAAAGCTGTATCCCCACCTGTCTGGCCCCAGTTATGGGGAGGGGGATGTCTGTTCTCAGCGATGTCAAACAGAGGGAAGAGAACCCGACCCTGGCCAGGAAAGGAGAGCTCTCGCATGCCTCAGACCAGGAGGTTGCGTCCCTCTGTGGGGACCATTGCGTTATAGCAGGGTCTCTGACCTGATGGGGTCTGATATTGTAGTGATCGCCCCGTCAGTGGCGTGAACCAAAGAGAATGATATCCTCCCTGCAAACTCTAGTGTAGAGGAAGAGGCAGTCTCAAGGCTAAGGAGGATCAATTAGGGCAGGGGGGTGCAGCTTTCTTCTGCATTATTCCTAATGGAGGGAAAACAGGAGAACAAAGGCAGTGTATAGTACTATGGAAGTGTGTGTGTGTGTGTGTGTGTGTGTGTGTGTGTGTGTGTAAGTAAGTAAGAATAGACGGCACCCACCTGGAAGCAAGGAAAATGAAGAGAGCTTCCCCAAGTTGCAATAGCAGCAACTTATTTATGGGCCAAAAGGCTTTAAGATCCTTAATGAATCCAGAGAATGCAGCAGTTGATGGTTTCCAAGTCCCTCTGCATTGGTCAGGGAAGTACCCCTGCCCGGGTATATAGCTAAGCTTGTATGGACCTCTGGTGTGGTCTGAGATGCCCACACATACACTCACCCGCTAATGTCATCCTGGGCCGTGATGGAATTGCTAGGGCATTTGCCGTTTTCTCTGAAGCCCTTCTCACCCACCATGGGCCTGGAGACCCCTGGACCAGGGGAACTCAGGCAGTTAACAAGCCACAGGGAGCAAGGCTTTCAAGGGGACAGGCCACTGCCAGGAACCATTGGGAGCCCAGAGTTAAAAAGAAGCAGGAATTTACTATTATTATTATTATTATTTATTTCTTTTAAGCAGGGAGTTGGTCCAGGAATAACAGATCAAAGGCCTGGTGTGGCAGTGGGATTTGAGGACATGGTGGGAAGAATGAAGGAGAAAAAAGCCGACCTAGTCAGCCTTGTTACAGCACAAGGTGATGTCACACTGAAGAACCAGAGAGCCAGAGAGGCTTTCACTACTGGGAGAACAGCATCAGAATGTGTGACTTGAGGACAGAGGAAGGAAAACTTAGGGAGTTAACGCTGAAATGAAGAAGCAGAGGACAAGGGACAGGGGCCTTGCTGCACCCCGCACCCCACCCTCATTTAAAGGTTCAAAACCCTTTTATGAGCTCCTTGAGGGCAGGGACTGTCTTTTGCCTCTTCCAGTGCTTAGGATGGTGACGATACACATGGTAGTTTCTTAATAAATGTTGATTGATTGATTCTAAGCATCTGTGAAGGAACTGTGAAGAATTAGGTAAGCTAGAGAAGTGGTGACATCCCCATCAGCATCATGTCCTGTAAAGGTTAAGGGAGAAGAGGCAGTGTTTAAGGGACTGTCAGTTTCCCCTGGCCTGTCCCTACCTGTTTCTCATCTCTCCTGGCAGGCAGAGTGGGAGAATGTGTTCCAGAAGGCTTCCTTGCAGCTGGTGGGGCTGAAAAAGTCCTTCTATGGCTCTGCTATTTTCCTGTGCCGCCGGCAAGCCCCTTCCCAGAGCCCCATCTTCTTGCAAGTGGAGGATACTCACTACAAATGGGTGGACTCTTTAAAAGTGAGTGGCTCATTTGGGTCCCTAGCTCCTTAAGGTGGGCTCGGATGAGCATAAGATTGGTGGGGAAACCAGATTGCTACGTACTGTGTTTGGTCCCTGTGTTCAAATAGGTCCTTTCCCACTTGAGGAAAATTTATTTTCCTTCCCTGGACTTCTCTTACAGACCATTCTGGCGGAGTCTTCCAACCAACCAGTGTGGCTGATGGCGGCTGGCTGTGCCACCTCTGGTGTTGTGGGGATGGTGAACTGCCTCCGAAAAGAACCAGGCGGGCAGAGAATCCGGTATGGAAAAATGCCAGGGCACTGGCTGAGGCATCTTCTCTGTCTCCCTTCCCTCCCACCCCAGGCAGCCCACCCTGACTCTACTCTTTTAACTCTTTCAGGTGTGTCTTGGTATCCAACCTCAGTTCCTCCTCTACCACCCCCCAAATCAGCCCATCCACCAAAGAGATGCAGCAGCTATTACAAGGGGACTTGGTGATGAATGTGTACCGCGATGGAAAATGGGGGGCCTTCCGCCACTTCCCACTGAAAGAAGGTGACATCATTCCCCCTCCCTTCTCCTCTCCCTATATCTATCTCTAAGATATTATACACACACACACACACACACACACACTTCCTAAGGCTCACCTTCCTGGGCACTGAGGAGCAACTTGGCCCAATTCCATCTCCAGTTTGGTTGCTAAGAAGGGAGAGAGATGAGATAGATCATGAAATATGAAAGAGATGTGGGGTCACACTCCACCCCTCTACTCCAGGGTTATCATGTAGCCACATTTATCTCTCTGAAAAATAACCACCTCTTGTCACTCAGCCAGCCCCTCACAGTTGGACTCCTTGTGTTCCTCTTACCCCCACCAGGCAAAGCCACGATGCAGACAGAGCATGCCTTTGTCAATGTCTTGACCCGAGGGGACCTTTCTTCCATCCGCTGGGTGTGTTCCCCACTGCACTACGCCCAGCCTACTGGCCCTAGCTCACAACTCTGCAAGATCTACTATGCCTCACTCAACTTCCGGGACATCATGCTGGCCACTGGCAAACTGTCCCCTGATGCCATCCCAGGTGCACAGACCCAGCAAATCCAAGGGGCTTGGCTTGGGCCCCCAGGGAGTCATTTTGACAAATGTGACTAGGGCTGACCAGCCAAGAAGGATACATGGTCATGAGCCCAGCAAAGCAACCTGCTATGCAATGTAGGAAGGTGGGGCGACTGTCAGGGCATAGCAGCAGCTAAAGCATTTGGCTAGCGCGGGTGCAGGAACTCTGTAGGGAGGGGAGGCTAGAGAGTAGTGGTGGCAACACTTCTCCATGGCCCTCCCCCCAAAACAAACCAAGAGGACTGCTTCTAGAGCCTGTATTCCTTGTAGTTATATAGGGAAGAATCTTTTCTTGTCTCCAGTTGTCACTCGCTGGTAGGACAGAACCATCCTGAAAGAGAAGTAAAAGGGAAGGTAATTCCTCCAAAGAGATGAGAATGGCATCCTGAGTTTTGGGTTGAGAGGTTCGAAACCTCCCTAAGTATTTCCTAACACAGAGAGGCTAAATAGCATTATTGCACCTCTTCATCTGTCCCCAGAACTCATATTCCTGCTCCCTAACAGCCAAGGATTTGGTGAAAAGAAATCAGTGATTTTTTTTTTAACTTGCAAAAGTGACCAATCCCTCTTCCCTTTCTGGAATAGAAACTGGTAGAGTTTTTAAAACCCAAGAGACAGTATAGCAACAGCAGACAGGAGATGAAAGGACAGTTAAAAGCAACAAGGGGGAAGTGCCCTGAGGAGAATGGCGCAGCCCGGGGTAAAGGAGAGGAGCTGGGCACCAGCTCTGGGTATGGGACTCACCAAGATCTCCCTTTCACGCCTAGGGAAATGGGCCAACCGGGACTGTATGATGGGCATGGAGTTCTCTGGTCAAGATGCTACAGGCAAACGGGTGATGGGTCTGGTGCCCGCTGAAGGCCTGGCCACCTCAGCACTCCTTTCCTCAGACTTCCTTTGGGATGTGCCAGCCAACTGGTAAGTCAGTTTGAGTACCATGGACACAAGGTAGGAAGAAGTCTAGGGAACCATGTTTATAGAGATCCCATCTGGAGCAGAGGAATGAAGACAAATGTTGTAAGGCAGAAGAAGGTATGGAGCGTAACTGTTGCTGTAGGCTTTAGTACTTCCAAGACCACTCATGGGGGTCAAGAAAGTAGATAAGGAAAAGGCCAACATGGAATGGGGGGTGGGGGGGACATAGGGGACTAACCCAACAGTTGCTTCTGCATCTGAACCTTCTTCCCTTTGGCATCCCCATCTTCAGGACGCTGGAGGAGGCTGCATCTGTGCCTGTCGTCTATACCACAGCCTACTACTCACTGGTGGTCCGTGGGGGCATAAAAAGGGGAGAGACGGTGCTCATCCACTCTGGCTCTGGGGGTGTTGGCCAAGCTGCCATTGCGATTGCTCTGAGCATGAATTGCCGAGTCTTTACCACTGTGGGTAAGAGCCATGTCCTTCCCTGCTCCCTGGTTCTCCATCCCTCTTTCACTCCTAACAGTGCCCATCACATGTACTCTGTCTGTTTTTCCATCTTGTTCCCACTTGAAATGCTGTCTGAATATTTGCTTGCTATGGTTCAGAGTTCAAGCTAGTCAGGCCCCAGAAAAGACCCCTTCCCTCCTCTGAGGAGGGGCCAGGAGAAATGGGTGTTTTATCTATGGTATTACCAGGACTCAGACCTGGTCAGCTGTTGGAGCCAAAACCAGAACCAGGTCTTTCCCTCTAACTGAACTCCCTGGTTTTTCCCAGTGTTGGTTTCAGAACTTTGAATTGTCAGTATCAAGCAAGGCACCTCCATTGCCATCTCCCCACCCTGACACCTGCCCGTATGCTTGAAGCAGCTGTGTCCCGGGTACTTCCTTGCTATGTCCTGGGTTCTTTCAGTCTTCTGGGATAAAATCCCTCTCTCTAAAAAGTTGTTTCTTTGAGTCTGAGCTCCTCAAGGGCAGGAACCGTATGTGCTATTCAGCATCCCCTGCCTCGGGCTGAACAGCAGACATGCCTCCTCAGGGTCGGCCGAGAAGCGGGCCTACCTCCAGGCCAGATTCCCCAAGCTCGACGCCACCAGTTTTGCCAATTCACGGAACACATCATTTGAACAGCATGTGCTGAAACACACTGAAGGAAAAGGTGAGCCCAGGACACCAAGGGTGGGGAAAGATCCATGCCCACGACATGGGGAACAGTACCAACTGGGAGAAAACCTCAGCTATCCTGTGAAGTATGATTTCTTAAGAGTAGGGCACTTTCTTCTTCCTAAGATGGGCAGCCAAAAGCCATCAGCTAGTTGAAACACTGCCTAGCACGAGCCCCTTCTTTTACATCTGGGTAGACTGAGACCCAAAGAGAGGTCTCTGGGGATTAGAAGGACTGGACAGCCTGTGGTGGACCAGAGGCTGATGCCAAATTCTCTTCCCCCATTCCAGGAGTAGACCTTGTCCTGAATTCTCTGGCAGAGGAGAAGCTACAGGCCAGTGTTCGGTGTTTGGCTCAGCACGGTCGCTTCCTAGAAATTGGAAAATTTGATATGTCAAACAACCATGCCCTAGGTAAGCTGTAGGCTACAAGGGTGCAGGCTCCAGAGACATTTCCCCATGGTGAGGTGAGGGGATAACAAGGTGGAATATCACATCGGGGCCTAGACTTGTTCCCACTTGAACCTGAGTCAGATCCCAGTCCCGGCCTGAGGGGGTGGGTCATTGTGCTGCATCACTCATCACCATCTCCCCACCTTTGTGGCAGGTGACATGGAGATGAGAAGACTCACATGCTTCTCCTTCCCCTCCCCCAGGAATGGCTATCTTCCTAAAGAATGTGGCCTTCCATGGGATCCTGCTGGATGCCCTCTTTGAAGACGGAAACGATGACTGGAAGCAGGTGGCAGAACTGCTGAAGGCAGGCATCCAGAGCGGTGTGGTCCAGCCCCTAAAGTGCACCGTCTTTGGAAGGGAGCAGGTCGAAGACGCCTTCCGCTACATGGCCCAAGGGAAACACATTGGCAAAGTAGTCATCAAGGTAAAGGAGCTGGCTGGCGGGAGCTCCTCTGTAGGAAAGGAGAATGTCCAGGGAATTCCAGGAGAGTGACTGCCTTAGGGGCTAACCCATAGAGGAAGGGAGAGCATCCTTGCATAGTGCTCTTGGGCCCAAAGGAGACTGAGGTGCCAACTGGCTCCATTGCCACTTGGCGTCTCTCCTATTTCTCAAGCTTTCCAGGGCAAAATCCCATAAATCCATTGCAGGCTTCCAGTCAAGAAGTTCAACATCAGGTCTTAGCTGAATCCTTCCTGACCATTCATTTTCTTGAGGAAGGCAATTCTAATAGCCCTCAGCACTTCTCCTGGGGCTCATTACTCCACCTTCATTTGACTTGTATAAAAGCTCAGTCTTGGGGTCTCTGCCTGCCGAAAGGTGTAACTGCTTAGAATCCTCAGCTCTGGGGCCATAGTGGGGGGGGTGCGGGGAGGCTTAAAAAGAGTGAACAATCCACCTCCTACAGTATATGTGTGTGTGTGTGTGTGGCGGGGGAAACAGGTCCGAGAAGAAGAGGAGCAAGCTGTGATGAAAGAGGCAAAGCCCAACCTGATATCGGCCATTTCCAAGACATTTTGCCCGAACTATAAGTCCTACATCATCACAGGAGGACTTGGTGGCTTTGGGCTTGAATTAGCTCGATGGCTTATTCTTCGAGGGGCTGAGAAACTTGTTCTGACATCACGTTCAGGCATTCGGACTGGTATGTGGGAGAGGGAGAGGGGGGGGAGAGAGAGACAGAGAGAGAGACAGAGAGAGACAGTGAGTGTGTGTGTTGGCAAAGAGCAAGCACTATGGGGTTGCTAGGGGAACAAAAACCCAGGGAAATCCTGTCAGACCCTCCACCCCAAGATCACAAATCTGGGATTAGTCAGGTTGGGTGGGAGTTCAGAAGAGGGGAAATTAATGTTTCTTTTGCTAGGGGAGAGGCAGATACACTGCGAACAATGATGCATTTTTCTTGCTTAATAATAATAATCGTTCTCATTTGCATAGAGCTTCTGAGGTTTTAAAGTGCCTTTCCAGCTATTATCTCATTTCTTATCATAGGATCTTATCATAGAATCCTATGTCCTACATCTATTAACTCATTTCTTATCATAGAACATAGTAGATCTAGAAGAGATCTTAGAGACCACCTAACCTAATGCATTTTATAGATCTAGACTCTGAGAGGTAAAATAACTTGCTTATGATCACCTGGTTACTTAGAGCTAGAACCAGACCGCAAGGACAGTCCAGTTTAGATCCAAGGCTGGTGGGTATCAGGACCTCTCAGCTATCTTTGCAATGTACTTACCCAACTGGGAAGATGGAAGTAGGACCACCATGGCCAGGATCCATTGTTTCTACAGGCTATCAAGCCAAGCAGATTCAAGAGTGGCAGCAGGAAGGCATTCAGGTCCTTGTGTCCACAAGTAATGTGAGCACACTTGAGGGAGCCCAGCAGCTGATAGCAGAAGCCACCCAGCTTGGGCCTGTTGGGGGCATTTTCAACCTGGCTATGGTGAGTGCAAGCTCTGGCCCAGGCGTAGGCTGAGGAGTGGGTGAAGGTGAGATGATGTAACACGGGTACCTGGGAAAAGTTGCTCTCGGCAAATAATGTGATCCAGTACTGTCACCGAAACCAGACCCCTGGCAGAGGAGTCATCATCTCCTGCTTAACCTGAATAATTTCAAGAGTTTCCCACATCTGTTTCCTGATTTCTACTTGGGAATCGGAATCTATCTTCTCTAAGGGGAACATGCCTTCAAGGGATTAAGAATGAAAGAATTGGGACCCCTGGACCAAGGCAGGGTGGAGGGGTCAAGATGGAGAAGAGTCATACCTTTGTTTCTGCAAGGGAGAGAGCAAAGATACCCTGAGGAAGCCCTGGTCCAATTTCCCCCAATGAGATCGCTGAGGACCTCTTCTCCTCCTACTCAGGTCCTGAGAGATGCCATGTTGGAAAACCAAACCCCAGAATTCTTCCAGGATGTCAGCAGGCCCAAGTACAATGGCACAATTAACTTGGACAGGTAAAAGGACCAGCGGACAAGGGGATCTGAAATGCTGCCACTTAAATCCTCTTTTTTGCCCACCTCTGACAACACAGCCTCGGTTCAATTCAACAGTCAATCAAGCGTGTATTTATTAAGTTCCTCTTCTGTGATAGGCACTGTGCGATTGAGCCCATCATGGTAGCTGGTGGGATCACCACGTAACAGCATAGAAATAAAAGACAAAAGGCCAGGACAGAATGCTGGAGGGACCTCCCTAGTTAGAGAATGTGATACGCAATTAAGAAATCTCTGTTAACTCTTGAGAGAGTGGTTTCATTTGAGAGATGAGGTCAGAAGCCAAATTACAGAGTGTTTAGAAGAGTGAGAAGAAATTTAAAGACAATCAGTTTCATAGCCTGATGCCTTGCAAAAGCTGTATAAAGGGAGAAGAACAGGAATGGTTGGATGTAGTGAGGATTTTTTAAAGATAGAGGAGGCCTGGAATATATGTAGGCAACAGGAAAAGAAACAGTCACTAGGGAGAAACTTAAAATTATAGAGAGTGGAAGAGTGATAGTGGGACCAGTCAGCTGAAGAAGAAAGAAGGGATGAGTTTAAGGATGCTTGTAGAAGAGCTGGCCTTGACTAGGAAGTAAAGCCATCCCTTCATCAGAGACTGGAGTAAAGGAAAGAAGAGATAGTAGGGGGTAGTATCAAGAAATTATGCTGAGGAGGAGGGGAGAAAATGAAACTCATGGCAAATGGCCTGGATTTTGTTGGTAAAGTATGAGATATGTAGGAGTCTTGAGGAGAGAAGAGAAGGTTTAAATTAAGTAACCATCGTGGTGAGTAGGATAGAGAATCAATT